AATTCAACGTAAAGTAACGGCAAAAAATTAATTAAAAGAAAAAATCTAACTAAACCTGATAATAAATCTCTGCCCAGAACAACACCAGTAGTGCATACGTTGTGAAGAACACAAGACTAGGCATATCAAGCAAGATATGTTGGACAATCTAGGAAAAAAATGGCGAACAATATATCGGACAACTATTAACGATAGAATATAAACAAATGCAATAACATGCATTGAAGTTGATGATTTCCTGACCTCTGGATTCAGCTTTTGTACGTCCCGACGAAATGCAAATACTACGCATCGAACTAAAAGAAAAAAAAAGGGCTTGTCAACTTATAGCCAACAAATCATAACACAAAATCAGGATTATAAACACAAAAATTATGATTCTATAATGAAGAATAGGTAAAAACCTGCATTGACAAAGAAATTGAGAAAATGGAAGACTTTCTGTGTGGTCCAACCATAGTCCGGCACTCTCAATTGTATCCTTACCAGTTGTACCTAGAATGAACACATTCCAGATAAGTAGAAACAATATGTACAGATTAAGTGAAGCACTAGAAAATCAATTACACAGAGATAGGTATGTAATTTTATTAAACTAAAGAAACAAGATTGTTCTATTTCCTTGTCCTCTTGTCAATGGATTGCAAGAGATCAATAAACAAAATAAATTCATAGCCAAGGTCTATAACCTTCAGGCAATTGCCCACCCTGATCTCAAATTTTAATGAAACTTGTAGGAAAAATAACAATATTTTATCAGAAAACTGAAAATAACAGTTCATCCTACCGAATCAAAGCAAAGAGCAGCTTAATCCCTCTTTTACCCTCACTTTTCTTTTAAAATTAGTGGCTTCAAGTAAAACATCTGTAAAAACAGAAGCCAGTAATTTATCTCGTAATAAAAATTTAAATGCATTTTTTTTTTCTTTTCATTTGTTCATTATATAAAGGAGAAATCAACTTTCAATTTACCACAAAAATATCTACACGGAAAAGGGGAAATAATACGAATAACATTGAAAAGTAAACTTCTGAACGACGTAAAATTCTCATCCTCAAATATTAAAAGAATAATTAATGAATCAAATAACCAATTATTCCTGAAATAAAAAGGAAAATCGATTTCATTACAAGAGCAATGGCGGCGACGATTCCAAAAAGGGCAGCGAGGACGTGAAATATGCGATCCTGCCAAACGGGTGAATCGTTCATAACATCCCACCAACTCGTGGCATCTTTAAGACGGAGCATCACCGTAGCCGTCGATGTGCCCACGACCTCCGCTCCGGCAAGCGACATCGCCGGAGACCTACAATAGAATTGTATTCTCTGACTATCGAAGAGGAGATGGATGCAATTTCCAAAAGCGTGGATTTATGAATTTAATTATTTTCCTATTTGAGAATCCAATATCGTTGTGATTCTGGGGAAAATTTGAAGGCGGTGAGAGAATGCACGAGAGGCAAGAAACGAGTTTTATAATGTGGGCGTGAAGGGTACGCGCTACAAAGGCGATTACACGTGGATGGATGAGTTTAGAGAGGACAGATATCTATTTTCGATCTCAATCTACAAAGGAAATTTGGTACACATCGGATTTGAACATGTCAAAATTATTGACTCAACAAATTACAAATTAGCCGACCAAAAGCTAATCCTGTTTGGTATTGATTTTAAATTGAATTTGACTTTATTTAAATTGAATTTTAATTTAAAATCAAAGTTAAATAATCAATATTAACCACATATTACATGAGTTACACAACTTTTCAACCACATATTTCAAAAATTTCTGTCAAAATCTATTAAAAATCTAATTTTTTTTTATATCCAGGTATCCACCTTACAGTGACTAAATCCTGGAGTCTACACCTTGGCCCCTCAAGCTGCAGACAGGTTAAACTGCAGGTTGTGCCCCAAACTGACCAGTGCTCAAGAGCCCACCAACTGATCTGGCAAAGTGCCAAGCAAGTCGTTTCCCATCTTTGCACCTTGCCTTCCAGTAGAGTTCCTACCTTCCAGGATAAATCCTGTCTTCCAAGAGAATATCTGCCTTCCAAGAGCCTTCCAAGAATCGAACTCACGACCTCTAATCTGCCAACTTTGAAGCGCTCTCATCTTTGTCAGTTGGTAATATCATTAAATGGGGGCATAGACAAACTCAAGTTGCATAAATATGACAACACCCAAACTTTTGGGTGGAAGGATTAAAATTCAAATTTTAGTCCATGTTTGATCCTTATTATTATTTTTTTTAACTCATTTAAAAAAAAAATACTTTCACCCGCATATTTTTATATAAAATAATTTTACAAGTAAATTCAAAACTTTTTTTAACCACACATTTTTCAACAAAATATTATTTCAAAATACATTTTGACCCAAAATGTGGCTTAAATAGGGACTTAATCTAAATTATTTTAGTCACATATTCTATAGGTTCCAAAGTTTTTTGATCACATATAATTATCAGCTTTTATCAAATTTACTAAAAATTTGATTTTAATTCCTATTAAATGAAGGCAAACAAAAGAGTAAAAAAGGACTTAGTTGATCCCAAAAAAAGATATGCATTTTGTTTGTAAAAAGGTAACCTTTCAAGTAATGAAATTATGAGCTCGGAAAACAAAATTTCTTACGAAGCAATTAATTTGTCAAACTCATTGTTTTAAATGAAAATTATAATAAATAAATAACAAAAAAAGGAGAAAGTATAAAAAAGGGAGTCATCATATTTAATTCTATGTTTGAGTTCCCTTATTCTCAAAAGAAAAAAAAAAATCTCATTTTGCATTCAAAATTTGTTTGCCCCGGGCAAATGATTTGATAGAAGCTAGACATGTCCCCTAAACAAGAGCTGTGGATGTTTTTTGTTACTCCCACAATAATCGTGCTACTTGTATAGGACATTTTGCCCAATGCCATCCTACGTTGTGAGATCGTCCAATGAAAAGCGATTACCTCATCGGATGGCCTAGCCTCACCTCGCAAGGCGTGAGGTGAGGCCACCCTTGAACTTGAGTTTCTTTCTTTTTTTCATTTCAAGTCTCAAGGTAGGGTTACCTCATTGGGTGAGACTGGATCATCCGATGAGTGGTGATTCAAATATCTCTATCGTGCTAGGGACACCTGTTCCCTGCCATTGTGGTCCCCTGGCACTCAAAATAATCCCATGACAAAATCCTTCAATGTAAATTTTTCCTAGCGAAATGAAGGATAAAATTGGGAAACATTAGTTGCAACGGTTGAATCTGTCCATGAGCATTCATTGAAATTGCATTCAACGAATTATTTAAACGGAATTAATTGTTCAAGATTATGCAAAACCTCCTAAAAATTAGATTTTAAGCTGGACAAAACAGATACTTAGTTAATGAACTGTAATTTTAGAATACGGAGATAAAATACTCGTTCGCTACATTTTAGATGACAAAGCACTACATACAAGTGCTAGGCAAAGTATACATTCTTTGCTTCATTGTTCATTAAGTAAAAACTAACATATATATACACAAGGTATCTCTACAACTTAAGTTAGTAAAGTATATGCATTTATTATATGTTTCTTTTTCATCGCGCTTCTTTCAAACAATACAATTTCGTACTTGTTTGAATTTTGAGCCATATTTTTATCCCTCTCTTTGTGATCCTCACATTAAGATCCAACTTATTTTAAAAATTAAGCTCCTAATTGGTAGTTTTTTTTTTTTTAGAATGAATTTTGTGCAATTGATTTTTCTAGAGATTGTGTGGTTAAAAAAAAGTAAAAAATTACGAATCCACGTGCAAAATTATTTTATTGGGATGTGAATTAAATGAATTTGAAAAAAAAAATAGAAAAATGACGTCCAAACAGGGACTAAATATTAGGATCATGTATTACTTTGTCAATTTTTAAACCACTATATTAAAAATAATTGAGTCCATTAAACCCTACACATTACTAATGTTGGGATTATATGAAATCAACTAATAAGTTGATAACTTATTATGTATTAATTTATGAAGATATTGAATATGTGATTTAGTATGTGTTTGATTGGCATTTTTCTTTATCCAAATTCTTACTTTTTGGGTGTTTGATTGACAATTTTTTCATGAAAAATATTTTTCAACTTTTAGTCACATGATTATATTTTTTTCAAAAATAAGGAAAATATTTTCTTTAGAAAGATGTGGTTTTTATTTTTCAAATAATTCACTCTCTGTCTCTCTCATCTATCACATTTCTCTTTCATCTACTCATCAATAAAAAATGAACAAATATTATAATTTCTAAGTTGAAAATTAAATCAATCAAACACATTTAATTAATAATTTCCATAGAAATTTCTTTCCATACAAATTTCATACTCGCAATCAAACGCACTCTTAGTTTCTTTTCCTTAAACATGTATTTTACTGAACTTAATCAAGGATCCCCAAATCTTTCAAAGCAGCACTGGGATGTCTAGCCTTTTATTTTTAGCACCGTCATTCCAAATGTTTACAAATGTGTAGTGTGAGGACTTGTCTTGTTATAACATGAGAATTGAAGTTCAGAATTTTAAAATGTATAATGACATATTAAATATAAAATTTATTTAGGATTGGACAAAACTCTCAAACCAAATCAAGTGGTTTGATTTGATTCGTGTTGGATATTGGTTAAATAAATCGAGAATTGAAAATCGGTTAAAGTTCGTATCGACTTCGGCCAAATATTCAAAAGCTCGATTCAATCCGTTTAGGCAAAATTGTTTGCCACTTCGCCGCTTCGGGGCGCACAAACGGGGATCGACCTCAACCATTTCGTCTACACCCTTTCATGGTCTATAAATAGGACCCTTTGGGTGTCCTATTCCACACGGTTTGATATGCAAAAACGTCTCTCATCCTCTCTTCTATCCAAAATAAAAATCATTTCATTTATTTTGATTTTCTTTCATTTCATCCTTGGAGTACATAAGCCTACATTTGGTTCGTTGTACTTGTGTTTTGGAGTGCTACAAACACAAGTGTAGCCGTTGTATCTTGGGAGTCGATTGCCGAAATCCGTAGGCACCGTTACGGGGCAAATTCGACTTAAGGACTAAGAGTCCAACTCTTGCCTCGACTTTGTCACCATCATTATACTTATTTCGACGTCACTATTCACAAAATTCTTCTAACAATTCGATTATTCTTAAGTTAAATACCTAAATGGGTATTCGGATATTAAATCGAGAACTGTTTAATTCGGTTTTCGATTCTAGATGAACTGAATTTCTCTAATTTTTTTAAATTTTTTTTTTATATTATTACATAAGCCAATTTTTTTATAAAAAAAATTCTAAATAAATTTGTCAACTAGTTAATTAAGTCCAAAAATATCATTTTCCTGTTTCATTTGCCAAAATTAATTGAACCCACTCAAGAAGCTACTGATGGAAATTTTGACATTTTAAATTAGTGGAATGATCAATAAATCAAAATTTGAATTTTTAATCTAAGATTGTAAGGGATGTACTTGTCATTCCCGTATCTACAGTTGCTTTTGAGTCAGCATTTAGTATTGAATGGTGCATTCTTGATCCATATAAGAGTTCTTTCAGTTTTAAAATAGTTGAGGCCTTGATTTATACACAAAACTGGTTAAGGGAGTCATCTAGATTTTTGCAAGTTTTCCAAGATAAAATTTGCAATGAAAAAACAAGGTTCTACGAAGATATTGAGACAGTTAATAAAATATATATTATTTTTTTCATGTTAAATCTTATTAGTTAGACAAATTTTCATTTACTTATATTTTGTTAATTTTACTTTTTCAATTATTTATTGTAGAATTTCCGAGTGTAATAAATCAAGCAATGGATGATTAGTTTAACGGTAATGCTATTTGTATATAATGGAATACAAAATGATGACATGAAATATCATTATGTACAAATAACGTTACACTTTAATTTAAATGGTTGGAAAGTACTTGTAATACTTAAAAATACTTTATTTCTGTAACTTCTAATTTATATTTCATTTATTTTATGTAGATTTGAAGACTTGAAGTAAATGAATTGATGAGATGGAATCATCGAAGTTTTAGCATTATTATTTACTTTTTGATAATTTGCATATATTGGTGAATGTATCTTATTAGACAACTTGTTATTTGTATAATTTTAAATTGAACTACATTATTTTGTAAGAGTTAAAATTGGGTATGTCATTAGTCAGAGTATTGTAATGTTATTGTAAATGTTAAAAAATTTAGCCCCAATTTGGTCCCCATTAAATTAAATTTCATTTTTCTCTCTTCTATTTTCAACAATATAGTCTTCCATAAAATAATATTACACGTAAATCTAAAACTTTTTTCAACCATATATATATATATAGTTTTTAAAGCAAAAACAAAAAACAACACATTTTTTTCTAGGAATTAATTCCTCCCTCGTCTATTTGTCTGAAAATTTAAGAAAACATAAAACAAGTCCCACAAAAGTTATACATAAAATAAGTTGTCCTGCTAAAACATCTACTTCTTCAAAGTTGGATTGGCTCCATCAACAAAGCAAGCATCCCCTTGAACAAAATCGAAATTCCTGCAATAATCATAACAAGCATTTAGCAACTAATTTTTCAAGAATAAACATCTATTTGGTTTAGTTACAAAAATCGATAAAAATTTAAGTCTAAATCGATAATTAACTTTAACCACATATTTTATGGGATCCTCAATTTTACGACCATACGTATCATCAACTTTTAACAAAATATATTAAAATTCTTATTTTTAGTTAAACCAAGAAAGTGGTAAATTTCATACAAATCTTGAACATGTTTCATGTAGATTTTTTTATAATAAATTTTGTGAAAGCGATATTTTAGAGAATGTGTACCAAATATAAATTTGTTTCGCAATCTTTTCAATATTGTAAGATCATGAAAAATGTGCCAAATATTGTAATTAGTATAAAAAAAAAAAACAGCACCCGTGACTTGTACAGGACAATGCATGTAAAGACAGGAACCAAAATGAAAGGAAATAATTGCTGAGAAGGACAAGACCATGGGACGGGAGAAAAGGGTTAGCCCTAATGTTTTTCATAAATTCTCAACATTGTCTTAATTATAGATATTAGCCTCTCATACAATCTCAAATTTTGTTATTAATATGATATTTCTACACATGTTAATTAAATCCTAGATCCTTCAATAACCATTGATATATATATATTTTTAATTTTCTCTACATACATAATTGTTTCATCTAGCTAGTGTATAATCACAACAATTAGATAATGACAACCTTATGAATAAACAATCGTCTAGATTTAAGAATTCAAAATTGATTGAAATACTTTTTTGAAAAATATGAAGCCCCTATTTGGTATAAATTAATTTAATGAAAATTTAAGTTAAAATCAATAAATAATTTTAATCATACATTTAATGGAACCTACAACTTTTCAACTATAAATTTCATTAACTTTTATCAAAATCTACTTAAAATACATTCAAATAAGTATTTGAAGGTTCATTTTTTTAGCTTAAGTTTAATAAGTAAGTATTTGCGTTCAAGCGCAAATAAGGAAAATAAGGACTACAATGCGAAAACACTCAAGAAAACAACTGACCCACTCCAAATAAGACTGACAAAAACAAAAAGTTAAAACTCAATTGAAATGGATTCCGATTCTGATTCTTCTTCTTCTTCTTCATCTTTTTTTAATACTGAAATTCAATGTAGCAAAAAGCAATTTAATTGACGCACCTGTACTTTTATGCTTTCTCTTGTTCATATATTTCTCTTCATTGAAAACGCCCGCCTCCAAAAGGTTGGCTTTTCTGCGCAGTCTTTTCTTCTGAATCCAATGAGCTCAAATCCATGCCATGTTTCTGTTCTCTATGCCCAAATCCACCGCTTACATTTCTTACTATCTCCCCAACAAGCCCAACTCCAAGAAAATCTCTTGTCAATCTACCTTGCTCCAAGTTGCTGAAACTTGGACTGTGGTGTTTCTGCAATGGCTGCTCAAAGCTCAGTTTATTGGTGCTGTATCCTCCATATTCATTCACTTGTGCATTACCACCATATGGATGAGTATTCACCCCTCCTGATCCGCCTCCGAAAATGGATGAGTTTCCATCTGTGATGGAATTCATTAGGTCATTGAAATTATTCCCATTATTCTCCCCAAAGACCATTCCAAAGTTATTCGCTGAATTAAAAGGTTGATCACTTTTTGTGCCGCTCGAGGATGAGGTGCCGAAGCTTTTGAGGATTGAAGCGCTGGTGTTGCTGGTTGTCGAACCGAGTTGAGCAGCCTTCTGAAGAAGTGCAGTTGCAGACATTTGTGTTGTATTGATTGAGTGGCTTTGAAGGGATGTGCTGTAGAGGGAAGGGATAGCAGCACTCAAATGATCAGTATTCAAGAGATTACCGGCAGAGAAAAGGTTTGATCCTTCTCCGCCTCCATTGCCACCGGAATGTCCATTATTGAACTGATTTGGAAACAACAAGGATGAAGATATGTTGTTGCTGTTATTACTGTTCGCAATGCTGTTGTTATTGTCGATCCCATTAGTGTTTGAAAAGAAGCTGAGATTGAACAGACCGGCGGTTGACGAAGAAGATGCGTTGGGATTTTTCTGAAGTTCAGGGAAATGCATTAGGCCATGAAGTGACTTGTTCGACAGCAACCCGTGTGAAGATTGATTATCATGGTTCGATTCGGGCAGGAAGAGAGCTGAAGAAGGCAGAGTCTGCGACGGCTGAAAGGTCGAGCCGATGAGAGTATCAAATTGACCAGATCTTCCACTACCCAAGTGCAGTAAATCAGCTGATGCCTGCTGCTGGTTTTGATCTTGTCCACTGGACATTTGGGAGATGCCTAAGCTCATGTTGCTACTGCCAAATAAATGGCTGCTAATGGAGGTTGGATTAAGATTTCTTGCACTCTCTTGAGCAAGTGCATCACAGAAAGCCCTATGAGTGATGAAACTGTCACGCCTGCAATAAAACATATACATAGTTAAAAAAAAAAAAAAACTTAGACTATACGGATACATGTAATTAAACAACTAGGAACGTCGAATTGTAGTAATTTTTCATCCATTTTAAAGCATTTCCAAGAGTCACTTCTGCATTTAAACAGTCAATTAATTAGGGTTCACTAAGAAACAAGAAGTAGACAAGGTTTTTTTTTTTTTTTCAATCATACTGATTAACTGAAATAAGAGGTCAAAGCTATTAGTTTTTCTCTAATAATGAGGCTTAATTGAGTTCTAATAAAAAAATAACATTGTTTTGTTCCATAGTCTTCAACTAGAGAATCCTTATAGAATATAGTTGGTAGAATAATTGTTTGAATTGCAGAAATACACAGAGAGGAATTAAAAATGAGATTGAAAGATCATTTCTGAAATTCTTTAATGATTGATCAATCAACAAATTATAACCTACCATAAGAAGACTGCTTGTAAAATAAATACAACTTAGAGTAATCGTACAATATGGTCAAAATTATCAATCAAAAAGTCATTTAATGTGAATAAGCAGTTCCTACAAATCTTTAAGGTATAGAATTAAAAGTGCATCTCCAAAACGGGACTAATAAGTGTGGCATATCATTCCAAAAGGCTTACATGGTACAATAATTCACATTATTGAATTTGAGATGCTCTCAAGTATCGGAAAAAAACACAGCTCCAAGGATTAATATCAGTGTGTGTGTATGTGAGGAGAGAGATGGTGAATGAATTGGATTTTGGATTCTCAAAATGTTATCATGAAAAGGTTTATCTGCAAGAGTACAGACCTGTAAGAATCTAGCCTACCCAGAAAAGAACAAACCTGGTAAAGATTAAACTTTTACTTACTGAATCAGAAAAAATTTAAAACTTCAATGGGACAAAGGATGGTTGTCCCCAGGCGGCAAGGTAGTGACATATACATATGTTTTTTCTCGAAAGCTTCTACGTCGATCATGGCGTTTTTTCCAAAGATAAATTCACGTGTAGTCATTTTTTTCTCCACAAATGATCCAAACAAGAGAAATTCAAAATACAACTCAAAAATCAACCAAAACTGTATGCAGAGTCAGAAAAAAAGGACCATTTCTATGAGAATCTGTAACTGATAAAAAAGACTTTTTACTTGAAATAATCAAAAACCCTATTACCGAAGAAGACAAGTGTTTCAACAACTTTCTCTCTCTAACTCTACATCTGTGTACACCAGGCTCACTTATTTTAGCATCTTTCTTGAATGAAATTGAAACCCAACAAATAATTATTAGTACAAAGAATTGAATTAGCTAGAAAACCCAGATTGATTCGATCTAGAATAATTTCTTACCTTGAGAAAAGAGTTCCACAGTCACATCTGTACTCCCTAGTCCCACAGGTTTTTGTGTGAGCTTTCCAATCAGAATTCACAGCATATTTCTTAGAACACTTTTCACACTTGTACCTCTTCTCACCATGTTTTCTTGAGTAATGCTTCTTAATACCAGTGAGGTCTCCTAGTGCTCTTGAAGGGTCATGGTGTACGCACGTGGGCTCTGGGCACAAATACACCTTTCGCTTAACCTCTTTTGTTGTCTTCTGCCTTAGTTTCCAAGGCAGATTGTGTCCTCTTCTGTGCAGTTGAAGGTTTTGCTCTCTTTGAAACCCTTTGGTGCAGACCTCGCAAACAAACCTGTTTGTAGCCATTAGGGTCTTGGGAGATAGTGCTATCACCTCTGCATCTAGATCTGTCATCGAATTCAATTAAAAAAAAATAACATCCAATCTTTTAAAATTTAGGGTTTTCTGGAAATGAAAAATGAAATCTATCAGAAAATTAAGGAGAATTGAATTCAAGTGTTTGGTACTTGCTTGATTTTCCAGGCTGATTTTTTCTTTTCTTCTGCGGTGGAGCGGTTGATGAAGATGGTTGTTTCATTTGATTCTGATCTTGATCTCTCATTGCAAGAAAAGATGCTGCTGATGAAGAAGCTGCCATTGAATCCAATCCCTTTATTTTATCTTCTTCTTTTCCAAGTACTAATTAATCAATCAGAGCCCTCAATATTCAATTGGAAATCTCTGCAGCCCAAAAATTAGCAACTCCACATGCAATTTGAGAACCTTGCAAATCTTATATCAGAATTCAAAAACAAATTCTTCTCAAACTCCCAGATATGCAAATTAATCAAAAGTAAAACCAGAAAGATATAAATAATCTCAACTACATATAAAAGCAGCTAAAATCAAAACAACACATATGGAGAAAAAGAAAGAAACAGATATGTATAGAGAGAAGTATATATCAACCCATGGTTGGTTGGCTAGCTAGCTAGAGATAAAAGCTATCTTGCTTTGCCTTAAATGAAATGAAGTTTTCGAAAAAGATGCTGTACTCAGGTTCATCTATATGCCTTGTTGTCAAGCCCACACAAACACAGACATATCCACAACATTTATTTCTTTTTCCCCTCTTTTTCTTTCATTGATTTTTCTCTTCCTCAATAATCAAAAAACAAAAATAAGTAGTGAGAGAAAGTGAGAGAGAGCGAGAGAGAGAGAGAAGGGGAAGGTGTGTGGCCTACCGAATCAAAGCAAAGAGCAGCTTAATCCCTCTTTTACCCTCACTTTTCTTTTAAAATTAGTGGCTTCAAGTAAAACATCTGTAAAAACAGAAGCCAGTAATTTATCTCGTAATAAAAATTTAAATGCATTTTTTTTTTCTTTTCATTTGTTCATTATATAAAGGAGAAATCAACTTTCAATTTACCACAAAAATATCTACACGGAAAAGGGGAAATAATACGAATAACATTGAAAAGTAAACTTCTGAACGACGTAAAATTCTCATCCTCAAATATTAAAAGAATAATTAATGAATCAAATAACCAATTATTCCTGAAATAAAAAGGAAAATCGATTTCATTACAAGAGCAATGGCGGCGACGATTCCAAAAAGGGCAGCGAGGACGTGAAATATGCGATCCTGCCAAACGGGTGAATCGTTCATAACATCCCACCAACTCGTGGCATCTTTAAGACGGAGCATCACCGTAGCCGTCGATGTGCCCACGACCTCCGCTCCGGCAAGCGACATCGCCGGAGACCTACAATAGAATTGTATTCTCTGACTATCGAAGAGGAGATGGATGCAATTTCCAAAAGCGTGGATTTATGAATTTAATTATTTTCCTATTTGAGAATCCAATATCGTTGTGATTCTGGGGAAAATTTGAAGGCGGTGAGAGAATGCACGAGAGGCAAGAAACGAGTTTTATAATGTGGGCGTGAAGGGTACGCGCTACAAAGGCGATTACACGTGGATGGATGAGTTTAGAGAGGACAGATATCTATTTTCGATCTCAATCTACAAAGGAAATTTGGTACACATCGGATTTGAACATGTCAAAATTATTGACTCAACAAATTACAAATTAGCCGACCAAAAGCTAATCCTGTTTGGTATTGATTTTAAATTGAATTTGACTTTATTTAAATTGAATTTTAATTTAAAATCAAAGTTAAATAATCAATATTAACCACATATTACATGAGTTACACAACTTTTCAACCACATATTTCAAAAATTTCTGTCAAAATCTATTAAAAATCTAATTTTTTTTTATATCCAGGTATCCACCTTACAGTGACTAAATCCTGGAGTCTACACCTTGGCCCCTCAAGCTGCAGACAGGTTAAACTGCAGGTTGTGCCCCAAACTGACCAGTGCTCAAGAGCCCACCAACTGATCTGGCAAAGTGCCAAGCAAGTCGTTTCCCATCTTTGCACCTTGCCTTCCAGTAGAGTTCCTACCTTCCAGGATAAATCCTGTCTTCCAAGAGAATATCTGCCTTCCAAGAGCCTTCCAAGAATCGAACTCACGACCTCTAATCTGCCAACTTTGAAGCGCTCTCATCTTTGTCAGTTGGTAATATCATTAAATGGGGGCATAGACAAACTCAAGTTGCATAAATATGACAACACCCAAACTTTTGGGTGGAAGGATTAAAATTCAAATTTTAGTCCATGTTTGATCCTTATTATTATTTTTTTTAACTCATTTAAAAAAAAAATACTTTCACCCGCATATTTTTATATAAAATAATTTTACAAGTAAATTCAAAACTTTTTTTAACCACACATTTTTCAACAAAATATTATTTCAAAATACATTTTGACCCAAAATGTGGCTTAAATAGGGACTTAATCTAAATTATTTTAGTCACATATTCTATAGGTTCCAAAGTTTTTTGATCACATATAATTATCAGCTTTTATCAAATTTACTAAAAATTTGATTTTAATTCCTATTAAATGAAGGCAAACAAAAGAGTAAAAAAGGACTTAGTTGATCCCAAAAAAAGATATGCATTTTGTTTGTAAAAAGGTAACCTTTCAAGTAATGAAATTATGAGCTCGGAAAACAAAATTTCTTACGAAGCAATTAATTTGTCAAACTCATTGTTTTAAATGAAAATTATAATAAATAAATAACAAAAAAAGGAGAAAGTATAAAAAAGGGAGTCATCATATTTAATTCTATGTTTGAGTTCCCTTATTCTCAAAAGAAAAAAAAAAATCTCATTTTGCATTCAAAATTTGTTTGCCCCGGGCAAATGATTTGATAGAAGCTAGACATGTCCCCTAAACAAGAGCTGTGGATGTTTTTTGTTACTCCCACAATAATCGTGCTACTTGTATAGGACATTTTGCCCAATGCCATCCTACGTTGTGAGATCGTCCAATGAAAAGCGATTACCTCATCGGATGGCCTAGCCTCACCTCGCAAGGCGTGAGGTGAGGCCACCCTTGAACTTGAGTTTCTTTCTTTTTTTCATTTCAAGTCTCAAGGTAGGGTTACCTCATTGGGTGAGACTGGATCATCCGATGAGTGGTGATTCAAATATCTCTATCGTGCTAGGGACACCTGTTCCCTGCCATTGTGGTCCCCTGGCACTCAAAATAATCCCATGACAAAATCCTTCAATGTAAATTTTTCCTAGCGAAATGAAGGATAAAATTGGGAAACATTAGTTGCAACGGTTGAATCTGTCCATGAGCATTCATTGAAATTGCATTCAACGAATTATTTAAACGGAATTAATTGTTCAAGATTATGCAAAACCTCCTAAAAATTAGATTTTAAGCTGGACAAAACAGATACTTAGTTAATGAACTGTAATTTTAGAATACGGAGATAAAATACTCGTTCGCTACATTTTAGATGACAAAGCACTACATACAAGTGCTAGGCAAAGTATACATTCTTTGCTTCATTGTTCATTAAGTAAAAACTAACATATATATACACAAGGTATCTCTACAACTTAAGTTAGTAAAGTATATGCATTTATTATATGTTTCTTTTTCATCGCGCTTCTTTCAAACAATACAATTTCGTACTTGTTTGAATTTTGAGCCATATTTTTATCCCTCTCTTTGTGATCCTCACATTAAGATCCAACTTATTTTAAAAATTAAGCTCCTAATTGGTAGTTTTTTTTTTTTTAGAATGAATTTTGTGCAATTGATTTTTCTAGAGATTGTGTGGTTAAAAAAAAGTAAAAAATTACGAATCCACGTGCAAAATTATTTTATTGGGATGTGAATTAAATGAATTTGAAAAAAAAAATAGAAAAATGACGTCCAAACAGGGACTAAATATTAGGATCATGTATTACTTTGTCAATTTTTAAACCACTATATTAAAAATAATTGAGTCCATTAAACCCTACACATTACTAATGTTGGGATTATATGAAATCAACTAATAAGTTGATAACTTATTATGTATTAATTTATGAAGATATTGAATATGTGATTTAGTATGTGTTTGATTGGCATTTTTCTTTATCCAAATTCTTACTTTTTGGGTGTTTGATTGACAATTTTTTCATGAAAAATATTTTTCAACTTTTAGTCACATGATTATATTTTTTTCAAAAATAAGGAAAATATTTTCTTTAGAAAGATGTGGTTTTTATTTTTCAAATAATTCACTCTCTGTCTCTCTCATCTATCACATTTCTCTTTCATCTACTCATCAATAAAAAATGAACAAATATTATAATTTCTAAGTTGAAAATTAAATCAATCAAACACATTTAATTAATAATTTCCATAGAAATTTCTTTCCATACAAATTTCATACTCGCAATCAAACGCACTCTTAGTTTCTTTTCCTTAAACATGTATTTTACTGAACTTAATCAAGGATCCCCAAATCTTTCAAAGCAGCACTGGGATGTCTAGCCTTTTATTTTTAGCACCGTCATTCCAAATGTTTACAAATGTGTAGTGTGAGGACTTGTCTTGTTATAACATGAGAATTGAAGTTCAGAATTTTAAAATGTATAATGACATATTAAATATAAAATTTATTTAGGATTGGACAAAACTCTCAAACCAAATCAAGTGGTTTGATTTGATTCGTGTTGGATATTGGTTAAATAAATCGAGAATTGAAAATCGGTTAAAGTTCGTATCGACTTCGGCCAAATATTCAAAAGCTCGATTCAATCCGTTTAGGCAAAATTGTTTGCCACTTCGCCGCTTCGGGGCGCACAAACGGGGATCGACCTCAACCATTTCGTCTACACCCTTTCATGGTCTATAAATAGGACCCTTTGGGTGTCCTATTCCACACGGTTTGATATGCAAAAACGTCTCTCATCCTCTCTTCTATCCAAAATAAAAATCATTTCATTTATTTTGATTTTCTTTCATTTCATCCTTGGAGTACATAAGCCTACATTTGGTTCGTTGTACTTGTGTTTTGGAGTGCTACAAACACAAGTGTAGCCGTTGTATCTTGGGAGTCGATTGCCGAAATCCGTAGGCACCGTTACGGGGCAAATTCGACTTAAGGACTAAGAGTCCAACTCTTGCCTCGACTTTGTCACCATCATTATACTTATTTCGACGTCACTATTCACAAAATTCTTCCAACAATTCGATTATTCTTAAGTTAAATACCTAAATGGGTATTCGGATATTAAATCGAGAACTGTTTAATTCGGTTTTCGATTCTAGATGAACTGAATTTCTCTAATTTTTTTAAATTTTTTTTTTATATTATTACATAAGCCAATTTTTTTATAAAAAAAATTCTAAATAAATTTGTCAACTAGTTAATTAAGTCCAAAAATATCATTTTCCTGTTTCATTTGCCAAAATTAATTGAACCCACTCAAGAAGCTACTGATGGAAATTTTGACATTTTAAATTAGTGGAATGATCAATAAATCAAAATTTGAATTTTTAATCTAAGATTGTAAGGGATGTACTTGTCATTCCCGTATCTACAGTTGCTTTTGAGTCAGCATTTAGTATTGAATGGTGCATTCTTGATCCATATAAGAGTTCTTTCAGTTTTAAAATAGTTGAGGCCTTGATTTATACACAAAACTGGTTAAGGGAGTCATCTAGATTTTTGCAAGTTTTCCAAGATAAAATTTGCAATGAAAAAACAAGGTTCTACGAAGATATTGAGACAGTTAATAAAATATATATTATTTTT